TATATATATATATATATATACACATATATATGTATAACTGAACTGAATCACTTTGCTGAATACCTGAAACACTGTAAATCAACTATACGTCAATTAAAAAAAAGAATCTTGGGATACAAAGAAAATATTCCAGGTAGGTAAGACCACACCCAACAGCAGCCATCCTATTCTACCACTGTCCATAAATATGTACCTTAGTCACTCTGGGCAGATGTTCTGCTCTTGAGAGTGTTCCCTTCGTCCCCTTTCCCTTTCCTCACTGCTCCAAATCCCCAGCACTCTCTACGCCAGTTCTTAGAAAAGATATCTTTGAACTCTCAATTCCTGAAATCCATGGGCACAGATGAAGCATGTTAACTGAAAATGAATTGCCATCACTGGGGCTTCTGCTCTGGGAGGCTTCTTTGACCATAGCAGACCTCACAGATCTCTTTCTACTTGATAAATTCTGCGACACTTTCCTTAAACTTCACCTACATACTGAACTTTTATGAGTGGTTTTCTTGTTTACTTAGCAAAACAGTGGAAGTCACTTGATGACACAATCCCATAAATATTGACAATATAGGCTATTTTTTTTAAATTACTGTGTATTCACATATGACAGATTTCCTCACCCAAGGGATTATTTGATATAATAATGGGAAATGGGAATTCTACCTTTGTATGCCCAGACGTTAAACAAAGGAAAAAAAACCTGGTTCTGAAACATATGATTAGCCTTTCCACTTCAATGCAGGCTAAGGTATACAGAGAAGATAATGGCAAAGCTTTCTGACATGTAATTAAGACATTGTCTATGGGATTATTCCAGGAACCTATCTTCTTGCAACGCTTTCCCATCGCTGCCTATATAGATTATGACCCTGTTTCCTGTTTGTACAACATATGGGGAAATAGGATATCCATCTGCACTCTAAGATACTAGAGGTAATCAGTGCAAGGGCTCAAGACATCAGAGGCCTCCTGGCTGCATGGAGGACCAAGAGAATCGGTACCGTGGCATAGTTATAATTGTCCACCGTTGCGCCATTGTGCCCCAGGTAGAGATTGTACAGAGGCTGAGAAGTCATTAGCAACATACATATCTCTTCCTGATCTTCAGGGCTAACTTCAAGTCACTCAATGAAAGTGACTGGCTCAAATCATCCCCTGCTGTGTTTTAAAGATTTCACATAACAAAGGAGTGGTTACTAAAACTTTTGGATAACTTCAGTAATGCTGTAAAAATTCCTAGAATATAATTTGTTAATCATAGTTAAAGTTAAGCTAACAAATAGAAAAATATCAAGAATGCATGGTTACCTATATCTGTCCTCAAAAATATGAAATTAGGGGATAAGAGACAAAGCATATACTTAAAATGTATAACTAACGTCGCAAGACAATACAGACTAAGTATCAGATGAGTAGGTTAGGTCAGACCTATCCCAGAGGGACTATGGTCTTCCAGTTTGAGTGAGGAAAGGAGGTTTTATGGAAATAGTCAGATTTAAGCAGTACCTTTATTAGTAAATAGATTTTCAGGAAGAAAAGAGGGGACTAGTCCTCTGTAATTAATCCAGATAGGCATGGATATCTGTCTTTTCACTTCTATGTCTATGAGTAAGGAGTTAATGTGTTCCTTTTCATTCCAGGTGAAGCAAAAGGAGTCAGCTTCATGTCTTATTTTGCACGAGGTTGACTGCATTTTAAAAGGACTTTACATGGCCAGAAGCTCAACTTCTACAAAATCATTGTTTAAAAGTCTTCTCCATTAATAAATACATGTGAGGAGAAAGGAAAAGAATAAACGGAAAGGTGTCTTTGATTTCCCTACCAACAGTGAGAGGTTGAGGAACCCGTGCTTCTGTGTTGGGGAGATTATAGACAAAGATTGTAAGTGAAGTGTTGCAAGGAAGTCCCAGTAGAAACTACGTCCCAGTTCCTACAGGAATACTTTCATGCTTATAGTAGAAAAGAGAAAGGACAGAGCAAGGGAAAGCCTCCAATGGCTGGAATGGAGGATTTGGTGTGAAATACTTGTTTACCCAACTATCATCATCATTCATCCCTCTCTCTCTCCCACTCTCCATCCATCCAACCATCCCTTTATCACATCCTCAGTCCAAGCATCCACCCATTCACTTATATTACCATAACTGTGACTCTTTAGTTCAAATAATTTAAAAAATTACCTGCCCTCAAAAGTTTCTTCCATAAATAAATGAAAAGACTTCTTAAATTCTTTGTTATAGTCTTCAGGTAGAAACCAGTTAATAACTTTGTATCATTTCTCCTCCTCTTTAAAACCTAATAAACACCAATGGGTTAAATGTTAAATGTGTCACACAACATGGATTAACATTAGAATGATGATACCAACATTCGATTGTGTCTTTTGAATTGTTTTTGTTCCATTTGGTTGCTTTCTTATTCAATCTTGTATACTGAAAGTATTTCTTGAGAACCTTACAATGATTCAGGAATGCTTTTTAGTTCAAATTATGGAAACTTCCATTTAAAGCTTTAATTGAATATATAGCTATCTGTCTCATTTTATTGCTGAGAAAATAAAGTTAATTAGTTTAAGATAATTAAAGGTTGATCCCAGAGTCTCTGCTCTTTCTGTTTTAGAAAAATTCAACTTCATTATTTAAAGTGATATATCCAAATAGTTTGTGATTCAGTAGAAAGTACTGAATGGTTTAATTAAAATAGTAGTCTTCCGCACCTCTACGTACCAACTTGGCTTCTCCTCGATTACCCATGAGTTTGATGTTTGATGCAGATGTTTGACGGCTAGCAGGCTTCAAGCCCTATCTCCCATTCCCTCTTCTGTGCATTACCTGGGCAAACCGGTAAGAAAGCCTGCATGCTCCCTCCCGTGGCCCTAAATGGGAGTTTCAAACCATGCAAGTCAGGCCCATGAGGTGGAACCCTCACCACATCCCAACCCCCTGCCCACAATAAAAATTCAAGCTAGTCATCCCTCTCTACTCTCGATAGCCATTTTTCAGGGGCTTGGGAACCTGTCCTGTTCTTTCAAAAAGTCCTTATTATTTGAGTAATAAACCTTCCATACTCTTCTTAATGCATTTGTGCCTACATCAGTCATGACGTCCAACCAAATTGTGCATAGTGACTGGGAACAGATTATTGCATGGTCCCACACATTACAGCTCCCATATCCAACGTCAGTGAAATGACTGACTCTATCCAAGGATCTACTAGAAAATACTTGGCAGTCATAGATTTGGCTAATATGTTCTGTTCAGTACCTATTTTACCAGGCTCTCAACTGCAGTTTGCCTTCACCTTGGAAGAGGCACCGTATACCTCTAACTAGTTGCCAGTGGGACATTTCAACAGCTCTACCATTGGCCACAATCTTTGTTGGCAAAATATTAACCACATCCAACTTTCCCCAGGAGCACAGGTATTAATTACATTAAGGACATCCTCCTCCAAGGAGATTCATTTCACACACTCATTCAAGGCAGAAACATTCTCAAAGTCACTAACAGTGTGTTCAAGGCAATCTAGGCTTTTCCTATCATGTCCTCAATATTCTTTCAGCCTTTGTCAATAACCCAATTGTGATTCCACATAATGATTGGAGCTTATGAATCCACAAGTATGATTATTAGAGATCTTTGTTTCTTCAGTGCCACTGAGGTTATTTCTTCACTAAAGTTGTTAATAAATAAGCAAGATGGGTGTGTTCAAATTAATAGTTAATAAACGGTTCAAATATTCCATACACTGAAATGAGCATCAGGTCAGAAATAATAACCTAATCATGTATTTTCCTGATTTGCAGACACCTTCTAATGAAGTAAAGAATGAATATGCTGGGGTTTCCCTGGTGGTGCAGTGGTTGAGGGTCTGCCTGCTGACGCAGGGGACACCGGTTCGTGCCCCGGTCCGGGAAGATCCCACGTGCTGCGGAGCGGCTAGGCCCGTGAGCCATGGCCGCTGAGCCTGTGCTCTGCAATGGCAGAGGCCACAACAGTGAGAGCCCCGCGTACTGCAAAAAAAAAAAA